ATATAATCTCAAATTAATCTCATCTATCTAATATCTGTTAAAGTCAAAGATTAATGTGTGCTAATAAATAAGTAAAATTAGGTTCAGGGGCTTTCCATATGTTCCATTCTTATGAATATTACTATGACATAATCAAATCAAAAGGAATACACTTAACAAACGTTCAATAACATAAAGTATGTGATAACGCATCCGACTCTTCAATCAACTCAAAACTGACAATTGATGACAATCGACGGCATAATCGTTTCTACAGTGAGACGATAAAATCCACGCGTGCAGACTAATTCGTTGTGACAGCGAGCGCGATATAAACGCCCATTCATTCACCTGTGCCACTGGCCGCGCACGGTGCATCGGTGGAGCATGTTTGATATCATGGCAGCATCCCGATTTTCGGTATCGCTCGCTATTACATAACATCTGTTAAAGTGCCGTCGGAACCGTCACCGCCGTCGACGTTGCGCGCCGTCGGACGCCTCGCCGGGCGTCCCGACGTCGCGCGAACGTCCCGCGGGACGTATAATCCTCGCCGAGGAAGGCGTGACATTAGCAGCCGACAGCTCGCACGGTGTCCAGCTCGCGAGGCCGCGTATCAATATTGGTTAACGTCAGGTGTCGTTGACACGGACGACGCGATGTCGCCGGTGATTTTCGCGAGGAAATATGCGCGGTTGCTGAAAAATTGCTCGAAGATTCGTCTCTCACTTACCTGGCCGATCAACGTGCCATAATTCGGTTTCAGAAGACCCGATTTACAAATCCGACCTAACGTCGCCGCCATGTTGGCCAGAGGTGCAATGTGCGGAGAGGGTTATGCTAGTCAGTGAACGATCCGCTGGACGGTCGACGTAGAATCAGCCTCGCGACTTATCGCAAAAATCCTCCCGCGATTATTCCAGCACCGCGGATCGGTCGCGAGGGATTAAAAAGAGAGGTTAAAAAACGTCGGTAGGGAGAACACCGTGAAGACGACTTCGGTCGGGGACTCGCCGGACTCGCCCCAGGCTTGCCAACACTTGCCAACGTCGCGGCGAACGTTCACGCGCCTAATCCAATGTCCATTTCTATCAGTGCAGATCAATCTCGGTTTAATTAATTACGTTTTATCTTTTTCTAATTCTTGGAGCTATAGGCAAAAAAAAAAAATAAAAAGTAAATTGAACCAAGATAAAATTAATCTACGTTGGTAGAAATGGATATATAAATCTGCGACTCGACGCACAATTATTTTGTGATACGCGGAATTTTGTATTTTACGTTCATGTGTGTCATTTTTCATTATATTTATGTAATCGTATAACATATATATTATTTATAGAATACGTACGTTATAGAAATATATAATATATTACATCTCTCTGGTGAAACAATTTCTCAATATATTTTGTCAGAAATTTTCTAATAAGAATTTCTCATATTTTAGATTTATATAAAAAATATTATATCTCTTTTTTCTCAGATACTATTTCAGAAATAATATGGATTTTATATATTTCAATATATTTTAAGAATATAAAACAAATATATTTTGTTTCACTCTAACTTATTGCAACAATGTTCACCATAATGTCTAAAAGACATCATAAAGATGTCTTTAAAATACCAGAAATCTTAAAGATGTCTTTATGATGTCTTTTAGACATTAATTGCTACCTGGGAGACTATTGGACGAAGCGTAAAGTACTCCTTTTGACAAGGAGAGTGAAATTTGAGAGGTGAGGAAAAAATTCATTGGGCCATCTTTGATGATCAGATTTTGCGTATACGATGTATCTATTTTAATGCCCCGTTAACGTAATGGCCAGTCTACAATGAGTCGTTAGTCGTTAGTCAGATGTCGGAAGAGAGTCGAAAAAAGTCATGAACGTGTCATAAGGCGATCGGAAGTCTGTAATCGGCAATCATAAGCGATTGGCCAAATGCCATCTCTTACGATCACCAATTACAGGTCTTCGATTGCTTACAATACGCTTATAACTATTTCTTCCGACATCTGACTAACGACTAACGACTCATTGTAGACTGGCCATAAAATTTTAATCGAGGCATCGCTGCGATTTAAAATTACACATAATCCGTAATTAAAAATAGTGGAAAAGTGAATATAAAACACCATACTCCGTGTAATTAATCGTTATCGCTATCTTGTGAATAATCAAGATTCTCTTTTCCTCCTCAAGCTTCAATCTCGCGGAAATATTTTGGTCCAAATAACAGGCCTGGACTTCTTTTTAGCTGAACTCCTTGCACGGTTTATTTTTCCTCTTTTTCTTTTCACATTGGAGAAAAAAAGGGAGAAAAGATGAACTGTGCAGGAAGTTGAGCTAAAATAGAACAGACCTATTCCTACATCCAGCATGCGGCGAAAATATTTTCGCCATTTGAAAATAGCCCCGGAGCTCTCTGACTCCTATTTGACTCCGGCTCCAGCTCCGGCTCCGGCTCCGGCGCCTCCGGCGGCAACGCCGGCAACGCGCGCGCGTGGGGGGCTCGGGCGCATGCGCGACGCGTCGTTGGCACTCTTGGGGGAGTCTCGGCTCGGGCAGTCCGCCGTCGACCATTGCTGTCAGCTGGACTGGCCCCGTCAGATGGTGTCGTGAATCTCTCGTGAAATCACATCGATCGCCGCGCGACGGAGCCAGATTCAAGATGAGCGGTGGTATGCCAGAGCTGGGCTCGAAGATCAGCTTGATCTCGAAGGCGGATATTCGTTATGAGGGCCGTCTCTTCACCGTCGACCCGCAGGAGTGCACGATCGCCCTGGCTAACGGTGAGTACAAGCACGGCGAGAGAATCCAAGATGGACTCCCGCCGCACCGCACATTCACCGTGCCGTCCTGCCGCCGTCGCCGCCACCGCCATCATCGCCGCCGCCGCGGCGGCCACTGTCGCCGTCATCACCGCCGCTGAGAATCAGCATCCCGCGTCTTCGTTCGTTTCTCGCTCCGGCGAGGAACGGCCCGTCCACGACCGGTGTCCTTGCGACCGGCGCGACCTGTCGCCCGGTTCGTCCGTGTCAGTGGGCGCGGGAACGGTACCTTCACCTTACGTGTCTCGTCACGTTTCTCCTGCCGCGAACGAACGTAACAGAGGTCATTCCTTCGCGACTCCTCGCGGAAAGCCGTGAATTTGATGCTCCAACCGGCCCCGGTCCTCTCGACGCCGTTCCGTCGGCTCCGCGCTGACCGCGTTGTCCAGTCGCCCGCCGACGCGCCGGAAAGTAATCCGATACCCGCGATTCGGCGGTCATCGCGCCGCGAAACAACCGGGGTCGCGGCGACCTGTGGCAGTTCTCCTTCGCAACGAGGACGTTTCTCATAGAGCCCTGTACCCCTATTCTGTAACTTTTAACGACAGTGTCGTTATCGTTATGATGTCGTTGCGCAGGTATATTATATGGAAAAAAAGCTGCGCAACGACGATATAACGATACCGATACTGTCGTTAGAGTTACAGAATAAGGCGTGCTGGCCGCGACACGTCGCGTGCCGATTCCGCTGAGACGATCCGTCGATCACGCGTTTTCTCTTGCGCATTCAGCGAAAAAATCCGCCGGAACTGTTATGGCTGATCGCTTGACCCGCGTGCGGTTATGTCGCGGTCACGCGGTTTGGCGATCGTCGAAGTTAGCGTGTAGAAATTAGAGGACGAGGAGTCGTCTTAAATCGTCGAGATTTTCACGATGCTAGGTTATCGAGGCTCGACAGTAGCAGATAAATCTGGGTAGATTTAAAAAATCTAGCGCGGAACGCTTTGTGCGAGCATATAATTTGCCGCTTTTAATATTTTAAGAATAGGTACTCCAAGAATTTATAGAACGGCTAATACCAGTACGTTATTAATGCTGAGGATGTAATTTCGAATTTGAGTTTGGTATGTGTGCCGTTTGCGTGGAATGTTTGTCTCTTTCTTCTGTCGAATGTTTACATGCCCTTGCTCCCCCTTATTCCGTTATCCTACCCATAATAAGTGACTTTGGCGAGAATTTTCGGATAGAAGGAGCAAATATTATTCTCGGAAATGTACTATTGAAGTCGTGTAAAAGAAATGTATAAATATAAGGCTTTCACTTTTCACGATTGACTAATGTAAAATAGATCCTACATAGATGTAAGATTCCACTTTTCACGATTGATTAATGTAAAATAGATGTGCATAAATATAAGATTTCACTTTTCGCGATTTATTAATGTAAAATAGATGTGCATAAAGCTGTTTTATGTAATAAATTTATGTGACATAAATATTGGAGCTGTTAATACAAAGGATTTGAATACTAGACATCTATCTGTTTTATTACAGATATTTTTCAAGTAAAATCCCCATTTATTTTATCTGTGAAACAGATATATAACTTGAATATTCGAGTACTGGCAGCACACACATATCGATAAATGACCCATTCGATGTAACAAAGAGCTGTAACAGTGTTGCTAATTGCAGCAATTTGAAACAACTGAATTATTTATTGTTTTTCGTAGTGCGCTCCTTTGGTACCGAAGATCGAGAGACTCAACTTCCCGTGGCACCACAAAACCAGGTGTACGAGTACATTCTGTTTCGTGGATCGGATATCAAGGATATCAGAGTCGTCAACAATGTTAGTTCTATTCCCAACGATCCAGCTATCGTACAGGTAATTATTTTATAGATAGAATTTATTTACTTCAGCTTTTACATAAATAGCCAGGAAGGGACTTGGTTTACAATTTAAAACTTATCCTCACTCATCCATCCATACCATTGTACGCTCGCTGCCCTCTTAAAGGGTAGCGGGTCTTACTAACCTAAACTACTTAGACCTAAACTATCACAATCTTTATCTTTGGCTTGATTTTCCTTTCTCTTTTTAATTTTCTTCTTCCTCTTCTTCCATAATTTCCGCAACATTTTACCCTTATCTAAATCTAGTTCATCACTCCACAGCCTTTTCCACTTCTCCGCCTCGTCATTACCTAAATCCTTAAACCATACACTCGCTCTCTCCTTTACATAATGTTCCATACAGTCATTGCCATCACCGCACCAAATACATTTTTTCCAATCTTCTAACCAATATTTGTTTGCTTCTTCCAAATTTTCGCATCTCAGTTTTATTAAAGCTCTAGGTAATTATTTTATAGAGTTTTTCTATTCTCTGTAAAGAAACGCGTCTTCAAATTTGGCATTAACAAGGTCTGAAAGTGAAATCAATCGTGTGTGTTAAACATTGATGAATTTAATCAGAATTTTAGCTGACTTGATTATCAATTGTTCGTAGATGACAGTGCAGCCATCTATGGGCCAGCAATCGTATCAACCACAGCCCAGTTATGCTCATCCGATGATGGGCCAGATGGGCCCGATGGGTGGCCAATACGGAGCCCCCTATGGCATGGGTATGGGAGCCATGGGCCCGGTAATGGGAATGCCAACCGCAGCTAGAGATCCGCGCGGACCAATGAATAAACAGCCAAGTGAGTTGAGCTTGGGCTCTGCTGAACCCAATGCCATCTCTATCCCAAACTCACTGCCAACGGCCAATATCGACCCATTACCAAAAGATCAATCTCTGGAAGATGGTAACTGTTTTTGCTATGAAGTATCCCTTGCTTTGCTGGCATGTTTCTTGCTGCTCCTGCTTTGGTAATGCCTTTCTCTGGTTAAGCTTCACGCTGTCAAAAAATGGCGTAAATCGTATGCATACGAGAATACATGTGATAATGTATTCTAACATTTTTTTTAAATAAGTTACTTACAATTAATGTTATAGTAACAAATTTAGAATTATTTTACTAACAAAAATCTATTATCTTTGTTGCACTTTTACGTAGATTTTTCATATCTTGCAATATTCAGTCTGCTTTGCTTATTTTCTATGTATACATGCATTTTATGATATAGAATTTTAATTGAATAAATATTGTGCATTTGTATGTATAACAAAAATTTTGATATTTTTATAAATTTTGAAACATTTTTTTAAATAAAAATATTCATTAAAATTTGTCATCTGTATAATCTTTATATACTTATATAATTTGGCTTTACGTTTAATCTTTTTTTAAAATTGGTAGATAATATTTTTGCATTTGCATGCATTTTTCAATTTTATTCCTTTTACGCTTATGTCATAATATAACAGAATAGCAATAACAGTGATAATAAACAATGATAATTGTTTAAAAATCCTCGAGAGATTTCTTTTATATTAGACACGCGAAACTTTTGTAGAAGTTAGTAGCAATCTTTCATTTCAAACGTTGGGAATGAAAAGTATATCTAAGTTATTTTCTTATACTAAAGTTTCGTGTTGGACTTGCTTGCAGTTTTGGTCGGCTATTGTCTCCTTAGATTAATAAAAATGGACATTATTTGACACATTCATGTTGCGATAATAGGTGTACTAGATCTTATTAGTGGTGGGTCTCGATCTACTACTCCTACATCATCCTTATTGACAAGGAAAAGTCCAACCATGGATCAGGGTATTCAGGTAGGACATGATCAACAGCAGCAGAGCAATAACATTGGCAAAATGAATGACAAGACAAATATCAGGACCGTCCAACCGCCTCGTCGAGACCATGATAGGTATTTTATTTAGAAAAACTAATTTTTGTCTTACTTTTAGAATAAATCATAAAAGATGTGCGTATAATTTTATTTTTCCAGAATTCTGATATCAGAGAAATATGACTGTATCTCTTTACAATTGATTATTTTTATTTGCTTTAGTTGCTTTACTTGCTAAATTTTCTAGTTATATAAACATAAAGCGATTCTACACAGATTTATATTATTTTTTATGAATTTGATAGATACAGATGGTATAGCTGAAACTTTATAGATATTTCATACATTTCGTAATAAATGTTTTATTGCGTGTTTAGCCACGGAGGTACCAAAACCAACGCGGGTATGTCTCAATATAATGATGCGAAGAGGGATATGATGAAGCATGATGGCCAGAACCAAGGTCATATGCAAGGTGGTCGAGGCAACCGCGGTGGTTGGGTAAATCGCGGCAACATGAGAGGTCGAGGGGGCAGAGGACGTGGTGGTTTCCGTACAAATCAAGCAAACAACGCTGGTGCCAAGCCCAAGACATTGAAGTTTGATAACGACTACGATTTCGAACAAGCCAACACTGAGTTTGAAGAATTAAGGTAAGCGCAAACGTTCGCTATGAATATTGATTATCTTATTCTGCATGGTTACGTGCCGGATTCATTTCAAGTAGCTGTTGAAATGACCAATGTGGATACCATGCAAAAGTAAATCAGTGCGAATTTAAAGCAATCGTAATTACAATAAATACGAATCGCTTACGCATCGCATTAACATTGCCTTATCATAAAATCATATTGCTTTCGGTAATATAATTTATACATTGATGTATCATATTGTAGGTCGCAATTGGCGAAAACGAAGATCGATGGTGCTGAAAATGAGAAGAAAGACGATAGTGGAAACGAGACAGGTGCTGGGGAAGGTGAACCTGAAGAGGAACCGGAAATTGTTCACTACGATAAGTCGAAATCATTCTTTGACAATATTAGCTGTGAAGCTGTTGAAAGGAGTAAAGGGTAAGCTTTATTAAAAATAAAATTTAGTAGATATAATCACCGTGCAACTGAATTTCAGTGAAACTATGATTTAATTCATCTTTTCTCTAAAATCGAAGAAAACTAAAATATTAAAAATTTAAGAGCATTTAAATTTGTGCCTGATTTTATTAATTTAGATACAATTTCCTTAATTTTAAAATGTATATTAATTGTTAAATTTTTCGCAAAACAAGTATTGTATCAGATTTTTGTATCAGACTTTTTAATCGTTGTCAATTTGTCATCAATATAATTTCACAATTTGCAATCGTAAAATGTTTTGCATATAACGCAAATTTTTCCAGGCGATTCCAACGCACGGATTGGAGAACGGAACGAAAACTGAATTCAGAAACGTTCGGTGTGGCTTCCACGAGACGCGGTGGATTCCGCGGCCGTGGTTACTACAATCGCGGAATGGGAGGCATGTACAGAGGCGGTGGTGGCGGCGGTAATAACGCTGGATTCCGCGGTGGCTATCGAGGTAGCAGGGGCGGTAATCGCAAACCCCCTAATCAACTACAGAATAACACGGGGAGTCAAAATCGCGCGACCAACGAACAGTCTGCCTCTCAGTCGCAGAACGTTATCTAAATAAAAAAAAAATAAAAAAAAAAAAAGTAATTTGTGTCACCGGTATGGCATGAAAAAAAAGTAAATATGCCGAGGAGAATAAGCGATGCGCTATGTATAAGTATACACAACCATAGATTAAGATTTTTACGATATGTGCTCTACTGTTACGGACTGATTTGGGTTAGAATTTGGCAGTCAAATAACAGAGGATACACGGCCGGATTAAATGTAGATTATATTATATAACGGAGCGCGTTTGCAATCGCCAAACCGGTGGTTACGTGTTAGGTGACAAGAATCGCACGTGTGGACGTTGCTGGCGCATATGACTTTGCATCGATATTTTGCGGCTAGATGATCGAAGAAGGTACTTTTAGAGACAAATTTTCTTACCGCTTAGTCGACAATGATCACGATGAATTGGCGTTGAAAGAATAGAACGTTTTTGTCAGAGAAGCGAAGTCAATGATTAGAACGTTCCTTATTCTTTTTTATTTTGATACTTATTTGTGGATTCAGATGTCTAAAATTGGGAGGGGAAACCCTTTGTAAGGGATCTAGTCGTAAGTTTTATTTGAAATATATGTCTGTTAATAAAATTCTTAATGGAAAAATCTGAAGCCGCTTTAAACGAACCAACGGTGTATCTGTTTATAGTTAGGGGAAAAAATTGTACAATTCAATCGTGATCATTCTTCAGTCCTGTTTTCTCAAGACTTGACTATAAATAATTTTGGAATGGCTTTATGGTGATGGTGACTTGATAATACTGGTCGTTATGGAATAGCTGGCTTGTATCCGTATATCGGAAGTGAATGGCAACAGACGTGCATAAAAGTACTTTCTCGTCAAAGTATGTAAAAATCGATTGTATCTAATTGCATTTGTCGAGAATAGGAATATTGTGAGGTATATATAGTACAAGGCAAATCTGATGAAAAATGGCATTCTTTTTTTTTGTTTTTGGTTTTTTTGAGTGTACGCAGACAAATTTTTTCGAGTCCTCGGCACGAAGTTCATGTAAAATGTATGATTTTATAAGGCGGATAAAAGTGGGAAATAATCGAAAGCCAATTTATATAAAAATGTTTGTATTATTAAATTGTAATCTTACGGTCCGCCTACTCTTTCTTTGCAAGATCTGCATCTAGAATTATGAAAGATGTAAGCGTCAGTCTTATTGTAAGTAACTAAGTTCTAAATCATGTTACATAATTGTCATCGTGTTTTGCAATTAAGGATTCCTCGATTGCTCTTATATGGAATAGTGATTGATACAATTATAAGGCTACATTATAATCAGTAATTAATTATATCGAACTTACAATTTATATAATGCTTATTAAAATGAATTTTTTTTTCACAAACATTTGTAATTATATCTTAAATCAGTATCTTGTCAATTTGTTTTTTTTTTCTGTTCTGTTAACTCCAAAACTAGTATAAATGTTTACACATAATTCAAAAGAACATTCGTATTTGATATACATGTATACAATCAGAAAATATTTAAATAATAATTTATTATTAATGACATAATTTTCCATTAGAACGTTATGTAAAATAACGATTATGCATGTATATTCAAGTGAAAATCATTAATCCATTCTTTTTTCTTTCATAAATTTATTCAATCGCTTTAGGGTGCGTGTCCACCTGCGAGTAAGAACTCTCGAGAGCAAAAAGAGAGAAAGAGAAAAAGACTCTCGAGAGTATCTCTCTCTCTCTCTCTTTCTTTTTGCTTTCGAGAGTTCTTACTCTCAGGTGGAGACGCACCATTAGTCTTGGGACGAGAGCAGCACTTTACGTATGTATATGTAAGTGTAAACGGGAGTGTACATGGATCACGTAAAATCGAAAGCTTATGACGAAGATTTTCAAGGCGTTAAAATGCATAAAAATAATTTACTTGTAATTCGATTGTAATTGACTAATTACGCTCTCGAAGAATCCTTTTGGATGCACGACGACGCTGCGCGAAATTAGAATTATGTTAAATATGCAAGTGCGAGTAAGGGTAAAAGCATGATAATATCCTTAAAGATATAAGACGTGGAAGAAACAAAATAAGAACATTATTTGCGACTATTATTTTTCTATGGCTCATACGGAGTCCCCAACTCATACAGATATTATATACACACACATAAACACATACGTACGCAACTTGAGATTTACATAACTGATAAGCAAACCTCCAATAGGCTATCAGAGAAAATGCAGAAATGCAAATGAAGTAAAAAGAAACATAGGACTATAAAACGAAGTAAGCGAGTAGAAAAAGAAATGGTATATGGTGAGTAAATTTAACTTTTAAGTTTTATGCCTAGAGCATGTGAGAAGAATTCATAATGTACGCGAGAATGGATTTTTGTTTTGTACAGCGGATATATATTGTGATTCCCGATGCTGAATAATACTGAAATGATGAGATAACACGTCGTCGTGTCATTTCTGACCTCCTACACACTACTTTCAAATAATCGAATGAAACGGAACGCTTTCTCGTTTCCTCGCGAAGTTGTAACGTCGAATACTGTAAGGCATTCGCGCAGATCGTCCCGCGCTTACCCCTTTGACGTATGTGCAAAAATGTGAAAGATATAACAATTTACGAATTTAAATGCTAGATTACGCGAATTTTAAAGAATGACTCGAGATATGAGAGATACGTGTTGTTTCGAAAAAAAGGAGATGTACGCGGATATAAGTAAAATTATATAACGTCATTAATAGGAATTGTTGGTAAAACTATCGTGTGTCTGGCGATACCGAAGTGTGCTGCGCATGCGGTGTGATTAGAATGTATGCAAAAAGAAAAAAAGAAACAGCGTCTTCCATGCGCTATATCCAGTGTTTTAAATGCTTGATAAGCGACACGGTAAACTAGAATGATTTATTACACGCGATATCGCACCCCCTCCGTAGAGATTAACGGGTCCCGTTAGTTCGTAACTTAAACTCACTGGAAGTAGTTATGTTTTTCTGTTTTTGCACACGTTTGCTGTTTTTTTTTAATGGCTCGGAAGTAATCGACCACACATTACTGATGCCCGTTCTAGACTGGAGGATGAGCCGACTCTCGGCTCATCCGCCTTCTATAGTGTACGTGACATAAACTATACATAACCTATAGATTTTTACCCGTCTACACCACTCACTCGGATGAGCCGAGAGTCGGCTCATCCTCCAGTCTAGAACGGGCATGACACATTAGAAACATAAAACTTCCAGTATCAACGTGATCGAAATTCGCCACACATATTTGTAACGAATACGGCTGTAGTTTGCAGCATACAATGAGTTAATCCTGAAAGAAGTTCTGTACGAAACTTGCGTGAAATTTTGAGGTATTTATTCTTAATTCCAGATCAATGTTATATTTTTTTTAAACGTTTATTATAAAATCTTTTTTTATCACAGGCATCTTCATACAATCTGGCGTCTCGATTAAAAAATAAAAATGAAGTTGAACATGTATGCGTGTGTCTAAGGAAATTGTAATGGAAACATGAACCAGCGAATACAGTCAGATGGCAAAAGAGGATATGCGTGAAACTTTGTAACGTAAAATGATCTGCAGAGAATCTAGGAAACACTATTTTCCGCGAAATATCGCTTCGACTGCGTCCGTTCTGCACTTCCAGTTACACTGATCTACATGCGAGATATCTTCATGAAGGTTTCCGGACGATGTTCGCCACATGGATTGAAGAAGATTTTCGGCCCCAAGTAGAGTGAGAGATCACGGTCGTGTGCGCTGGCCGGTTATCAGGCGCAGCTCATCAGATCTGTCCTCGTGCTGTCGCAGACTTCTCTTATCGCGCGACCTCGCGCGACCTTAGTTTCGACGTGTGGGAAGTTGTTCTTGTAGTGACGACGCAGAGTACGCGGATTCGGCACGTAAACCTCGTAAGGCGCTCTGCCACTCTCGATAACCCAAATACTGCCGCACTCGCCGATCCTCAAGATCGTCATTAGGCCCTGCGCGACTACGTAAGGCCTGCAAAAACAAGACAAATAAGCGATGAGAAATTTATATCTGCTGAATTGGCGATTATACGTAAGCACCGGAGGAGATACAACGTTTACTTCAGGATCGGATCTACAAACTGAATTTATTAGAGCTGTATTTTAAACCTTTGCTTGAGGAATTTTGCGTCTCATCTCTTGGAAAAAAAAAGAATTTATAAATAATTCACTTGCAATTAATATATTTGAAATTAAGTAATCATGAAAATTATTATTATTTGCGAAGGGCGAAAGACTCCTATTTGGATCATAATTTAGTTCTGCGGCAGGAACATAATAATCCGCTTATCTGGCTAATTTATCTGCTTGTCTTGTCAAACGTTTTAGAAACTTACGTTTGTATCGAAAACTGTTCGAGATTTTTGACGAAATCCGCCTTCATGACTCTGGAAAGAAGTCTATTGGGGCTGTCTATTGTCAGGGCGGTTTCCGTCAGTCCTGGACACAAAGTTATCACGGTAACGCCGGCCTTCTCGTAGTGATAAGGATCCTGTTGGAGAGTAAATAAAAATTAAAAACCTCATTAATTTGCAAGATCGCTTATACAGATAACGATATATGAATCGGGAAATTATTTGTAACAATTTTTAGGATAGTTGGTTGAATAATTAACTGCGTTTAATTTTTTATAATTACCGAAAGAGACTGCGATAGACCGATGACAGCCTGTTTCGTGGCACTGTAAACCGGAAGTTGAGCTGTATTCCGAATATCCATATGCTGGCTCACGTTCACCAAGATACCACCGTTACCACCCGTATCTCTGCTCATATATTTCATAGCTAGCATTGCGGTGCCGACCATGCCTCCCTGGAATCGACACATTACATTGGAATCTACTCTTTATTTTTATTATTACGGTTATTACTTGTCAATGATATTTAATTTTCAATCTTTTTATATAATCTCATGTGCAATTTGGTAAAATCATTTTATTACGGCACAAAAGCCACGAAGTTATTTGAAATTACATAAAATATATTCAAGGTCTCAAGAAAAAATTGTAAGAGTTTTTTTAAGAGAGAAAACATCGCAGATAAGGAATTCGTGAAATCATCATGGATGAAGAAAATTATTAATAAATTAATTAACTATTATCAATGATACTTACAATGTTCACAGCGATTTCCTTCTCCCATCTTCGCTCGTCTAAAACTCCAGCGTTGTTTATCACGATGTCAATGTTTCCTAATAGCGATGATGCCTCTTTGAAAGCCTCTATAAATTGGTGCAGACAAAATAAGATATTTTGTGAGCGATACTCTGGGAAGTTCAGCGATTATAATTCTCGAATAAACATCTGTGCGCGATGATTTGAAAATCTTGTTTCATACTTACCAGCCACTTGCTTGTGATTAGATACGTCGGTGTGTATGAAGTGCACCTTCTTCTCGCCGCAAGATTTCTCGATGCCGAGTGCGATTCGTTTACCGGTTTCAGCGTCGATGTCCAATATAATTATTTTCTGTAATAAATACGCGTGAAATAAATGTAACAGTGCCGAGATGATATCAATATTTCGTAAAAATAGCCCAATGTCATTCTATGGATTTAGAAGGAAAGCATTTTGTATCTATAATTAACAACAAAGGGACGTTTAATTTGCAGAATAATATTAATCTAATTAAGTGATAACAATGAAAAAGAATTTTCTTGATTATAAATGTTTTTTTATAACATATCGATTTCGATAAAAGCGCTTTTATTTAATTACGTATTTACAGACTAAAGTTCGAGCTTGACTTAAATATAGACTTCGTGTAAATGTATATGTATATTATTTGTAGATCTATAAGGAATTATTTATATAGTGCTGATTTATGTGGATTTCCTGTAGATTTTTTAGATTGAAAATTAATTATTTTATTTGGAATTTAATTGTTAAACATACGTTTGCTCCGTGCTTCAAGAAATGGTTAAGAAAAGCGTTGCCCAATCCTGCCGCACCGCCAGTTATTAGAACATTTTTTCCCGAAACGATACAATTGATCGCTTCCATTTCCTTCGCCCTTTCCGACGCTGAAGAACGACGGCGAAGGATTCTGAAACTTGGATCTATAACATAAAGAAAATGGTTTAAAAGAAGAAAATTCATTTGGTTAAAAAAAGCTGATTTTAATAACATACACTCTATGTTAATATAATAAAAAATTTACTGCTTTGGCCTAACAATTTATTACTCAATAAATCTCACATAATCTTTTATCTCAGAAAATTCATAAAAATATTTCTAAATTTGTTAATTACAATTGTAATTTTTAAAATTATAATTATTAATTATAAAATTATTAATATTATCAAAATTATAATTCATAAGAACAAAATAATCGAAGAAACTTATTTTTCACATTTCTCATAACAAAGCATTCTGCATCGGAGATTGCAGAATGGTTTCAGAATATTGATGGATACATGGTCTTCTCGACGAAAGGATCAAACCTACCTATTTTATTCTCCATGAATGAAATCGCTTATTTCGATATTCGAAAAACGGATACAATTTACGACGCACTCAAATCCTCGAGGGTGAAGTCGAAGAACCGAGAGTTCGTGCTAGTAATACGTATGTTTCAACTGAACTTCGAGACCGTTCGAACGGTGTTTATATACGATAAGCAGCGATGTAGGATTCCGCGATATTGCGACTCCAGTTTCCGTCGTGGCGGGGATGTCTCAGAGGGCGAAAGGTGGACTCCGGGCTGTAGATTACATAGACGGCAGATTTATAGATCGAACAGTTACGATAAAAAAGAGATTCTCGTATTTTTTTTCATCAAAACATGAGATCGTCAACAGTGTGGGAAGTCTAAAAATCGACCGAATTTAGTGAATTTTGTTAAGTGCATACATCACACACACACAGACCGCTGTTAGACTGATGGTTTAATTATTTTTATTTTGTAAAAGATATATGTATAATATTATATGTATAATTATTGATACAAGAAAAAAATATAATGAGCTTACTGATGAATAGTTTATTAAGGGAGATTTATACCGGTTTGTACTATTGCGGAACTCCAAGTTTTTAATTTGGAACGAGATAGGTGTCAAAGTGATTGGATTCGGTAACATAAAAAGGAACAACAATGCAGTCATTAAATAAATGGTTTATTTAACAAGGTTATTACTTTCGATAATAATTTTTATAATTTTCCGATTTATCGCGATCCTCCGCTTTTTCATTGTGCCTCTTATCATCCCTCTCGCTAGACTAATCAGTCATCAGTCGCGTTCTCTTTTCTCAATGTTCCCGATAGCGCTTTCCCTAATTAACCCCTTCCGCAGAGGCTAATTAATCGCGTCGTGGCAATGCGCTTTCCGATACTGGATATATACTGGACACACAGACCGAGAAGCATTCCTTGAAGCAATCGCGCACTTTTCCTTTTACTTCAAGATAATAATAATATATAGTATTGTGGATTGTAGACCAAGCAAGCGGACCGTTAAGTAATTGCATTTTCAACAATGTTACGCGATTGCTTTTTACGCCTCACTTACTACATGGCAGCATATTTTATTAATATAAATAGAAAATTGAAAAGTTCAATGCTTTTTATACATTTTACACAACATTATTTTCTAAAAGATAGCAAGATAGTTAGGAAAGACCACCCATTACTCATTTACTCATTTATAAAGAAATGTTTACAAAGTATTATTGTAATATTTATAAAAGAGCCACGCAAAATATACTGGGGAGCGATCAAACGTTTGAGTGGTGAGCAAAATGAAAATTTATTAAAGCGCGCAAACCAGCTGTGCATCTTTTTAGAGTTTTCCGTGAAATATTTGTTCTGCATATTTGATCTCACCCCGTCGGGCCATTTCGTTAATAGAAATTTATGGAGGACGCGGCTGGTGGGTCGTAGATTTCTCGCAGCGCCGTGCAACGGGAATAAATATTTTCGCCCTTTTTACGCTCCCGGTGTATCGTGCTGCAGCCTTCAGTCGGTGCGTCTTTTATATTATTTTTCAAATTAATTTTTAATGCATTTTTGTATTTACTCTGGCTTTGTTCGTTTCAGTTCGCCCTTTTGTGTCGCAATTTTTTCGCTCTTTTTTTCGAGTAAAAAAACAGTAAAATGTGATCAAAAAGAAATAGACACTTAACACAAATGATTGCATTTGAATATGCTTGTATTATCGTTGCGAATTAACATATAAACGGAAATGCTTATTCAGCTAAAAATTTAACACTTATACTAGCGCACGGCATTTGACGTAAGTGGCACTGTGTATAATAGTACATATATGTACTATTTATAAAATAAATTAATGATTTATAGCAGGTCAAGCAAAATCTCAAGGCAAGAAACTATCATACGGTTCCGGGTAACGCGACGATCATTGGGTGATATAACTTTTGTTCGAATCGCTCGCGTAATTGTCGCTGCAACGGACGTAACGAGCAACCCGATAAATTGTTATCGATGGCCTATCATCGGCAGTCCACCCTAATCAAATGACCTTTCCGTGGCTTCGCTGTTACGTGTGAGAGGTTTCATTCTTTTCTTCGGGAATACATGTAGCAAAAATTTACAAAAATCAATGAAGCAGGGTCGAATTATCGTAGTCGATAAGAGAATACTAATTTTGTATTTGTATACACATCTTTTTACATTTCTTTGTATTAAATTTATTTAATTTTTATATTATCCTTCATATTGAATTTATATTACAATTATTTATAATATAATACATAGAATATCCAGTTGTTTTCATTGAAGTTTCCTTGGCCGATCTATTAAATATAAATGCACTGTCGCGTCGATCTGAAAATAGAGAAACCAGACAACGCGAGGGAAGAGAAAACTGCATCTTCGCTATTTGCAAATTACGCGAAGTCGCGAGGCGCTTATCGCCAATCGCTCGTGGCGTCGGCGAACTTTAGAAATAACGCACTTGATGCAGTCGTGTGGCACACAACGGCGATAAGAGCTTGACGTGCGCACAGCTCGTGCTTGCTGCATCTTATCAATAGAAAAAGCGCACTTAACGTCCGGTCGGCGTCGCGCCAACGATAAATCAGCCGAGGGACCGCGCGTTGTCGGCCCCAAGCCGATACCGTAACCGGTACGAATTGGTTCCGAACGAACTTTACTCCGAATCGACGAAAGGGAAAGTAATTTCTCGTGCGGTTTTTACTTAGTTATCGTGCTACGCTGCAAAGATTCACGCCTGTGTATGTCTGCTACGGCGCGGCGGCGGTCCGGAGATGTAGCGGTTCATAAATATACGCGTGTCTGCAAGAGATTACAGTCTTCCACGTACCAAACAGTTAATAATTGTTCGACTGACTGATAATGTGCGATATTATTTACTACATTGACATCATTGTTAAATGTGATTTCCTTATTCTTTATGCAGTACGACGGATTTACGTTTGCGCGGTTTGAAGATATAATATAAATAAATTATTTTTTAAATATCATTTTTAATAACATCTATGCATTACAAATGTATAGTTAAAAAAATTATTTATAAGTTTGTAGGATTTATAGCTTTTTAAAATAGGCTTAAGTACTTATAAAAATATAATTAAACTTATATTATAAGAATAAATTATTAGAAATTATTATTTATATCACGTGGCTTGAACACGTGAGACTGTACGATACTAGCTTATTTAAAAATTTAATTTTTATGACATATTATATAATAATAATTTTAATTTTACGATTTTATGATCGAGATACAAAAACATAAATTATGAATTTGAAGAGAAATTTAATTTTGCGAGTTTTTTTTTACATATCACTTGAGAGGCAAGATTATTTTTAATTTTTTATACTTATCCAAAAACTAAAAAAACTAAAATATTTAGTTGTACATATAATATTATAATATTGAGCCATCTAACTAGCTTCAGTTTAAATTTAATATCTCGTTCGACTTAGCTACAAAATTAACATAAACTATTTGTCGTAAAAATGTTATTGTGCTTTCTATCACGTTTCATTTTAAATAGGACATAAATGTACATTTAATTAAAAAATGCCATTACGTACAAAACAGAAATATATTGAAAGTTTATTACAGATTTCATATCACGTTACAATTTTTATTGATCAGCACTAAATTTTACCTAACGAAATATTTTGTAAAAAAGATAGGTTGATTTGATAATATTATTTGTTGCACGGTGAACATATGGACATTATATGAACATATTTAATCTGTCTATCGATTTCATATACGCGGCTAGGCCTCCGCGTCAACTTCGGTTTTCTGCGGCAAAGTATCGGGAAGCTGCACCTCGTAAACCGGTTTTCCATCCTCGCTGATCCACACGCTGCCGTTCTGCGCGCATCGAATTACGTATATCAATCCATGAGCTACGCTTTCCACCCTGGCAACAAAATTTTACTTTTATGTTTTATGCAAGTTTCGAGAATACGCCAATTATGGATTAGCAGCAGTCTCACCTCTGAGGTCGGTAATTCTGCAAAATATCAACGTTCGAAATACCCTCCGGTAAATCCTCCAAGACTGATATATCGTCCAAACCGGGACACAGAACAATTATTTTTACATTAGTCCTCTGGTAATGATAAGGTTGCTGCAAATAAAAAATATCTGACAATCTTTCTCACAGGCGTCTCTTTTATGTAAAATTTATATGCATAAAGATTAGAGATGAAATTATTATTGAAATTTTAGCTTAAAGGAGAAGCTTAAAACAGAAATTTATTGTCAGAAAAAATTTGTCAAAAAAAAAAAAAAAATTATTATTTAATCACATTTCTAAAACTTTATGGTCTTCGAAACCTTTCTAAAACTGGGTAATATTTTTTTGTGTTATTCGTTATAATTGTCATAGATTCTATTATATATTATAATTTTTTATGTAAATACTTACCGCAAAGGAACGGCTGAAGCTAACGACGGCGTGCTTCGTAGCAGAATACACCGGGAGTTGAGACACAGCTCGTAATCCGGCGATAGACGAAATATTTACGATGACACCACCCTTGCCTCCGGAGTCCTTTCGCATTTGTTGAATCCCCAGAAGAGTCCCACGAATTACAGCTGTCTACAATAGTGAAATTAATATTCAGGCATCTTATTTTATCTAAAATTATCTTATCATATGCGATTTTATTTTTAATTAAGGCACAATTAGCCACATTTAAGTCTCGCTTCATATAAGTTTGCTTTTGAGATCGTGATTACATGTTTATAATATTTTTATAATCACATATAGAATGTCCTATTATTATAAAATATTTAATTTGGATTTTGGTGATTTTTGTGACCAACATTTTCTCAAAAAGCAATATAATAACACAAAGTTAAAACAAGAAGTTGATAAAAACTTACCACATTAACATCGATGGCTTCGGAAAAATCAGTTTCATTTATTACGCCTGCATTATTTATTAAAATATCCAGCCCGCCGAGGATATTGATCGCCTCTTTGAACGTGGCTGTAACAATTAATATTTTCGGTTTTGAACAATTGTTCACCAAATGCAAAAATTATAACAGTAAACTTAAGTGTAAACTGGCTTTTACAATTTAATTTGTGCAAGCAACGTTCAAGTTTGCTTATTAATGTGCGCGTTAATAAAATACAAATTAACATAAAATATAAATTTTTAATATATTTACCGTCAAATTCGGAATTATTCGTCACGTCGCAGTGGAGAAATACAGCTCGTTTGCGGCCAAACTCGTTATTTAAACTCTCTACAGCTTGTTCTCCAAGAGACTGCCGTATATCGATCATAACTATCATCTAGAAGAAATATTTATTCATATCATTTGTATAAAAATTTACAATTCACGAATATTTCAGAATTATTATTTCACATAATCAGCGATGAGAAAATTTTCCTTCGATTTACAAATGGCTACTTTATCTTTTTCATACGTAATAATATTATGTATATTTTCAACTGATAAACATCTATTTTTAACTGAATACATATTATTTACATATAAATATATTAAATATGATGACAGTGAAGTTTTTGATATTTGCAATTTAAAACTTTAAAAACTATATACATCGGCTACTAATAATAAAAATCATTCATTAATTAACGCAAAATATTCTGATATATTTTGATACGCAGTTCTTCGTATTTCTAATAAATAATCTTTGATATAATATTTTTATTACATACATAAGATTAGCGTTTTTTTTATATAAGATTATCTGATATAAATTTATTTATGTTAGATTATATATTAACCCTCGGAGAACACACAGGGTCAATTTGACCTTTACCTCGAGTTTTATCGTTGTTTAGCCAGAAATATTAAAAATTTAGCCAGAAAAATTAAAAATAAAAAAATAAAAATTTTTTCGTAAATTACGTTTTTTTTTCAAAAAAAATTTTTTCTGAATTTTTTTAAATATGTAAATAATTCCAACGGCACTTTTTATTTATATCAATTGATTTAACAATGTTCCAAGTACATCTGGAAATTTTTTCAAGCTCGTCAATTTAAAATGGTGGACGATCAAACTGTGTGTAGGGTCAGATTGAACCAGAGTGTTCTCCGTGAATGAAAAAATAGGTGTGTTCTCCAAGGGTTAAAATATAATGTGTTACATTATACCAATACACAAGCAAAATATAATACAACATATTAATATAATAAACATTTGAGAGATTCGAGCGAATATTTACCGAATAAACTACTCTTGTTTTTTCATCTAACAATAAGCGGTGATAAAAAATTGTTTCCAAGCCATAATAAAAGACTAGCAACCACTCTATTAATCTTTACAAAATAAATAGCTATTAAAGAAAGAAATAAGATGAAGGTACATGTGGAAACGTCATGATGAGTTTAATGAATATTTTTGAGAGAAGAATGTATAAAATGTTCTTATTATTATTATATCATAATTACTACTAATACAATCTTATTACAATTAAGTTACATACCAAAGCGCCATTTCGTAGCAACTCCCTGCTAAATGCAAGGCCCATACCACTTGCTGCTCCAGTAACTATAACTCGTTTATCCTTGATCTGCATCTTTTCACCAATTTTTTCAGCAGTCAATCTCTTCCAAGTATATTTCTTCACTTATAAAAATACTCTTTGGTTTAATAAGATATGCGAATTTCCGTTCGCAAATTTTATATTTCTACAGTAAAAGCGTTAAATGCGCGAGTTTAAGAGCCGAGATGTCTCTTTATCGATATGACGTGGATCTGCGGCTGGTCTGACAACCTCCTTGAACCGATATGGAAGAATCCACTGTTTTCGTTTGGCGATCTTCGACCTCTCGATCTGTGTGACGTGCAACTCGTCGGGGCCTCTTCTCGCGCGAGATTCCTTATCCGTGGTGACAACATTGTGAATGTCTTCATTCTCTAATAGCGTAAATTTAGAGCTCAGTGGCATTCAAGAAAATTTGTAATGTCCCTCAAGAGATCAGTGAATGAAATCGTAAGTTTAACTTTGTATATATTTTTATAAAAAATAAGGGCTATTTGAAAATAAAACTTAATAAGACGTTGTAAACGAGATACTGTGCAATATATTGTGCTCAATGTATCAACTTTTAACCATATCATGTGATATGTTTTGAGCAAACAATCATAACAATTAAGGGAATGAATGATATAAATGGCATATCGGTTCCAAGGACATGATTGCATAAAGAACAAAATTCCACAGTGAAATTACAGTGATGTGATTAATCAACGACCGTGATTAACCAACAACTGTAATCTAGAAAGGCCATCTAGTGCAGTGCATTGAGTTTATTAACAAGAAAATCTTGCTCAAAAATTCTGATTTAAATGTAATTCTGCATTCGCAGCAATAAATAAATACATCTGTAAATTTTTAATTAGGTTTAAAAAAATAACGGTGAATCACTCTTTATAAGTAGACACACTCTCTCTCTTTCTCTCTCTCTTTCTCTTTCTCTCTCTCTCTCTCTCCCCCTCTTCCTCCTCCTCCCTCCCTCCCTCCCTCCCTCCCTCTCTCCCTTTCCCTTTCCCTCTCCCTCTCCCTCCTTCCCCCCCCCTCTCTCTCTCTCTCTCCCCCTCCCTTCCTCCCTCCCCCTCCCCCCCTCTCTCTCTCGCCATATATTATTCAAATCTTCTCGGTGTAGCGGTATATAATTGCGTACATTTACGATACTAATTATGACCTAAAATATCTATAGTATTTGAACTTTAATTATTAAAACGTTTCGTATTATTTAAATTCAGGCGGAATTGATAGTATACAACAGTTACAGACCCCGGCACCTCTTCGGGCTCTTCGGCTTCTCCATATTTTGTGGGCTGTTTGGGCGCCGGTGAGGCAATTGTTCCTCGACCCCTCCTGGCAATTTAGCCGAAACCGAAGGGAATCCTTGCCGTGAGGCAGGCAATTATTGCAGGTAAACCTGTCAAGGAGAAAGTAACTTCTAAGTACACAAGTAAGCGAGAAAACATAATTGAAATCTTTTCGTAGTTTGTTGGTAAAATAAAAAAGAATTATTTACCTTGATGCCTCCAGTACACATATTAAGAAATGTCAAGATTGTTTTGCACAAGGAAAAGATTATTTGTACAAACTCAAATATATCCTCTAGGTGTTTCGTATAATGCAGCAAAATTTAGAAAGATTTCTGTTGAAATTAGAAAAGTGATGAGAAGCAATACGTTACGAGTCACGTTAATACTAAGAAATCCTGCATAGATATATACTGAATCGATTTTTTTTGTCACCAATTATTGCTAAACAAGTCAAAATAATAGAAGCTCCAAGTTCTGAAGACATAGTAGGGGAGCGCAGATATTTATGTTTGTCACGTGTACTTGTCACATATCAGAGTCCTAGCTTTTTTATTATGTTCTCTTATATGTTCTATCTGCTACAGACTCTTGTTGCCGTTTATCTTCTTCCTGCTCAATTCTAGTAAATTGTGGAAGATTCCTGGGTGAAAAAATATATTTAAAAAATATATAATATATTAATTATATAAGGTTGCAATATTAACTTACACTCCTACCACAGTCAGTACATGTTACAAATGGTTCTTTTATGAAACCATTCTTCATTTCCTGGAACTGTTTCTTTTTTATGGTACTACTGCCGCAGCAGTACCTCAGTTTCCGCATTATTCCGTCTATTTTTTTTCAAATGATTTCTTTTGCCAGTGCCGGATTAACAGTAAGGCTGAGTAGGCTAGAGCCTTAGGCCCTAAATTTTTTTCGGCCCTTTGATTCCCGGAAGAAATGAAAGAAAAAATTATAAACGACTTATCCCAGTAAAATAGGTCCAAAATGTCTACAAATTTTTTTCGGCATCCACTTATCGCTGGTCAATTCTTAGTAAGGAAATGCCCAAGGAAATTTCAATGCCTAAGAGGCAGTCAGATACTCGATGGAGCGCTAACGCTGAAGCTGTTAAAGCTGTTTTGATAGGATACAATCATGTCCTTGCAAGTTTAACTAAACTGGAGTCTGAATCTACTAAAAAACCAGAAACCAAAACAGCTGCGAAAAACCTGGCAGTTTTCGTAAAATTACTGGAAACCAGAATATTGTTGCACGTTTGGAATGAAATTCTTCAACCTTTTGATAGAGTAAACAAACAACTGCAATATGAAGAAAGATTGTAATATATAGTAAAATTATTTATTTCCACATTTACGTTACATCATTCCTACATAATTTTAATTGTAGTGATTTTTAGATTTTGATTATGTTTTTGTATTTTTCTGTATGTGTTGATAAAATTTTACATCAATTAATATTTAATGTTAACTTCTTATGATTTTACTTGGTATTTGTATACATACTTTTTGTATGTAGAAAAGATATCTTGAATTAATTTAAAGTTATTCTAACTCTTTGTTAGGAATTGCGTGGTGTTTCAATAGATACGTCATTTTTTTATGATATAATTATATAAAATTGTGTTACATAATGTTACATAATTTATTTTTTAATTATTTTATTTATATATTGATTATTTAGTTAAAATTGATTAAACACGTATAACTTTAATCAATAATATAATTCTTGAAGGATACTAAATATCGATGTTATCAACTCAATCGAACTTTATGACATATTTATGATGAATGTAAAGAATATATGTTTACATGACATATGGCAATTTTACAAAAACAGATAAAATAATTATTATTCTATTATTGTTCTATTTACCCTTTCTATATGTACACAAAGTTATATTAAAATTAAAATTTTCTTAATGATATTCTTTTGTCAACGAATTGATACCTTACTTTTTTAATCTAAAAATATATCTGTGTTAAACACATTAAATACATTGCAAAATACGTATGTATTTTATTCAAAAGAAATAATAATTTTCGCCTAATTTGATCGATTAATTTATTCGATCAGTAATTTTTCATGTAACGATTCATTAAACCGTATAAAATAGAACAGCTTATTAAATCGTAATATTGTAATATCGGTATTAAATAAAATAAAAATTTAGTATCAGTTCAAGATTTCAGTATTCGACGAACAATTATTTGCATCTGATACATTGTACCGATAAGTATTATCTTGAATAACTTAATAAGTATGTTAATGCGACAGTACCTCAAGAAGCATGTTAATACATAATGTTTTGTGCATTGCATCTGAAATTTAAAATAAAGAAGAAATGTTTATTTTAAGGTTTTCTTTTTTTACGTAGGAGGATGTATCAAAGTGGATTGCGTAACTTAAAAAACAAAACGTAACACACGTAAATATTTATCAACTTATTTTTGTGCCACATCCTTTGCAATATATAATTATTACAGCATTGATCATAATTTTACGTGACAATTTTCTAACACGCAAGTTTAACAGTTCTAGTCTTAGACACAAAACTCGGAATTTTTTATCCTAACAAAATACACAGGTATACATATTGTCTAAAATTTGTTCTAATTATTAATGGAATTTTTAAGGAAAATTTGTTTTAATTTTTAAAGGAACTTTTAAAGGAATCCAAAATGAATAAACGTAATAACGCAACAGTTATAAAATCAATACGTATAAATTAAATATTAAGCGCGAGAGGACATATATATATTTTCGCCCCTTAAATCAAGCAAATTTCGCGCTGTAAGTCCAATCTTTCAAGAAAAGGACTTTCGAACTTTCGCTTTCGGGGCGCGGTTGCCTTTTCGGCGACGATTCTAAAAATAAAAGGGGCTACGGGACCGACGGCGAAGGCCGCCGGATAGTCTACCGAGGGATCGCAAATGTACATACGTACACGGCATTTACGCACGTGCGTGAAGGGCACGCACCGGCCGCGGCCGGCGCAACGTCGCGCACACCCGCATGGCACGCAGACGCGCCAATCAATATCGGACTATACCGGGTGTGCACTCCGACCGTCACGACCGTCAGTCAGCCAGTACACCATCAGCCACCAACCACACCTTCCCGGGGTTGCTTCGACGCCGTCGATTCTTTTTTTAACGGAGAAGAGACGCGACGTCTGGACCGCTGCAGCACTGTCCCGAGTAACCGCGGATTGCTAACTTCCGACTTGCCCAGCTTCGTTGCACCCCTGTAGCAAAACGTCGGCACAGGTGGAGAAATCGAAAAGGTACTCGGAAAAGAGAACGAGTCAGTGAACTTAATCCCGACGATGGACGGAGGGAGAGAATCAAACGACGTATAACAAGCAAATTTTTACTGTGAGCGTACGAGGGGGATGTTTAATGGTGTATCGGAATTCAGACGTGTCGAATTCAAAAAATTTTGTAATATCGGGGTGAAAAGTGTGAATTGCACTAAATTATTGATCGTTTATCGGTATCTCGCTGCCTCGCTGATGCCGACGTGCTATGTGACAGGTGGAAGAATGGTGCACTCGTCGCGTGAGTGCCCCTCCGAATTCCTTGGAATACACGGGGATGAATTAATCTCTTGTGGAACGAAGAGTTGAGAATTATTGTTAAAAAAGCACAGACGCGCGCGGTTAAATGTGAAGAAATTCGAATTTCAGATTTTAATGAAAAACCATTTCCACTTTCTCTTGTGTCCTCTTAGAATGATGATATGTATCTTTAGTTACATGATCAATTGCGCGAAGTGATAAAGTAATTAATAATGCATTGGACTTTCTGTTATGTTCGGAAGGACCGTTATCAAACTGTGCGTTCTACGAAAGGATCATCTCTCACGGTGTATTTTGCACCACCGAGCGTTTCATTGCCGTTATCAAACTGTGCGTTCTGCGAAAAGATCTGCTCTTACGGCGTATTTTGCAGAAAATACAAATGATACGAAAAAAAAATCAAAGTTATGAAAGTTACAACAAGTACACAAAAGAACAAAAAGAAAAGGCAATCGATGAAGTCAATCAAGGAGGCTCTGTTCAAATCGTAGCAACAAAATATAACATAAAACCAAAAACGCTTTATGACTTAGTAAACAAGAAAAGAAAATAGTGTTTTCCCATTGTCGACTGTGAAATAAATCATGGACCCCTTCGGACTTCTAAGCAAGTTTTTTAAAAATGCGTTTCTATTCCGTTTTTACTCAGTTAACAATATCAAGATTATACTCGTTTACTCATCTTCCGACTAAAGACCGTTTGTACATTGATTGCGACTTTATAACATTGTTACCGTAATTATTTGGATGTAGAAATGTACGATTCGTGACTATTTAATGTAATTAAGTTTGGCTGATGAAGGCACGGTGTTGCCGAAACGTCCCCATTTTAATATTGTTAATAGTACATAATTTTAATTTTCAGCATCCTTGCTGCTCGTTATTGGCCGTTAACCTTGTCTTTTTATAATAATGCATTGTAAAAAATTAACCATCGCATTGTGCGAAGAATAGAATAGAAGAAAAAGAATAAAAAAGATGACAGCGTATATAGATCGGCTATTTTTTACTTTTGGTTCTCTCCTCGTATACGAGAGTTCTCTTCCGAAAAGTATATGAATAAGCACAGGGTGTAAATGTCAAGGTTAAATAAACAAGCTGAAAAATTTAGTAGGGTTTCTGGGGTGTTAATTCTGACAAAGTATATAGCAATTAAAATAACGGAAATGTCCGTGGCTATATTAATAAACATTTATATTGTTAAGTTAAAACGTGTTTGTATTTATGTACAATTTTATGCGAATATTTTCGTCCAAATTCTTCAATTTACTTTAATAGGCACACTTTAAATGAGCACAGTTCTTTTCGCAATATTATGATCCTTCTATTAGTTATAAACATTATTCAAACATACTCGGATATTATTCTATTGTCAAATTTTCTATTTGCAGATATAACTATACGGGAGAAGATAAAAATCTAAGGAAAATGGAAATAAAAGGGCGAGTTGCCCTAATAACAGGAGCCGCATCCGGCATCGGTAAAGCGTATGCCATCGAACTATTGAATCAGGGTGCCAAGGTACATTATAATTTAGAAAGAAAAAAACGTTTATTTAACAATTCTTTATAGCTTTGTATATTTGTTGCATTGTTAAAATATTTCTCCTTTCCAAAGAAAATAATAATGATACCACTATTCGATTTTCCGAACAACGAAAAAATTAAAATTGTTTCGATTTTACGAGTTGGAATTTCACGCAAAACAAACATTTCAAAGATTCTTCCACGCGCGTTTTCTTTCATAACAACCGATTTATATTTAGACTTCTTTCAGACAGAGAAAAAACTTGCCGCGTCCTCGAGCTTTTAGGAAAGAAATCGTCATCATTAATATCAGCGACGAATATATAGTTACATGATCACACTCATTATATATCTTAAAATATTTATTGGAATGGTCGTATTCTCTTATATATTATACAGTATTACATTTTAATCGATACTTTTACTGATGATAAATGTACTTTTTCTGCTTTTATAAAATCTCCGTTTAATTTTCCAACAGCGTCGACAAATCTCCTGCACTGAGAAAAAAAATATTTATTTAGATGTGGCTGCCAATAGCTTATTTACTTAATATAATACATATATTTATTTAGAATTAGATATTTTTACTTAATTTAAATAAAAATAATTCTAAATAAATGTGTATTATATTAAGTGAATAAGCTATTGGCAGCCACACACCTAAATAAATATTTTTTTTGTCTAAATATTTTTTTCTCAGTGCATATAAACATTTTAATTTAAATTAATCCATAAATATACAAAAAATAATGTCTTTTGAATAATTTTTACAGTATATAGTTGATGATAAAATTTATTTAAAAAACAATATTTGATTGTATACAGGTGACTATATGCGATATAAACACCGAAGAAGGAGAGAAACTGGTGGAAACATTAGCCGCAAAACACGGCAAAGATCGCGTAATCTTCTCGCAGTGCGACGTCACGGATTATCCACAATTCGAAGGTATGATAACTCGCGATTTCTGATCCTAATCTATCATCGATTTATTTCTATCCGCATAAGTGACTAACGCATATATACATATGTATATCGTTTTCATTTGTGATGCAATTATAATTTAGCATACGATGCAATTCAATTTGCAGAATCGTTTCAGACAACGATCGCGGAATTCGGTCATATTGATATCGTTATCAACAATGCTGGTATCATGAATGACCGGTTTTGGGAGCTTGAAGTAGACATTAATCTCGTAAGAAAATATCCAATAAATTCCTTGCAATGTGCTCTTGCATGTTTCATATCCAATATAATTTGCAAAAATTAATCTTTGATGCGTTAAAAAATTTATGACAATTTTTCATTTCCTCGTTTTTTGATGTCTTATTTATTTTTAATTAATTAAGGCGATATCTCATAGCGTATTTCTATGTTTGTGCTTCTTTATTAAATGCAAAATGTATCGTAAAGTAATATTTTCTTATATTCATGACACATGTGTAGCAAAAATTGATGTCTCCGCAAATATAATTATAGAATGGAATAATACGCGGCACTTTGCTTGCTCAACGATTTATGGGTACCGATAGGGGTGGCCAGGGTGGAGTCGTCATTAATACTGGCAGCAACACTAGCATTAACCCTTACGTCAGCGTGCCAATTTATTCCGCGACGAAAGCAGCTATTGTCAGCTTCACTAGAGCTTTTGGGGTAAGAAGTCCCCTTTTATTTCTCGATTTTATGCTATTGATAGTAACTCAGAATAATAGATAAGTATGAGTCATCAATTTTTCAATTGGTTTTAATTATTTACAGAAATTAAAGAAAACACTTATAAAAAAATTTACGTTTACAGATTTAGAAAATAGAATTTAATAACTTATCATTTAAACATTTCTCTCACTAAATTTGATACAGATCGTATTATTCTCTTATATAAAGAAGATAGATGTATACTAATTTTCTTCTTAATTCTTGCAAAGGATCAATATCACGTAGATTTGACGGGCGTTAAGGTGATGGCACTTTGTCCGGGTGCCACAGATACCAAATTGGTACGTGACGTCAACAGAAAGCTTCTTTTGGCTCGATACGAAGATGCCTGGCAAAAGGATATAGTTTCGTCAATTCCTCAAAGGTATGAGACTTAACATAATTTCCACGTAACTGTAAAAATAAATAACTGTTATAATTATTTCTTAATTACATGAATAATAATAAGCAATTGGTATTTCCGAGTTCCCTGGCATCGTTTCAGATGTCCAGAGCATCAACCTCAAAATTAAAAACTTCTACAACGAGACTTTTATGTATCTAATTTATCCAAACGTAGAGATGTAGAATAAAATTAGCACGTAAGAACAACTTAAAAAAAACACCCGATACCGCAGGACGGAACACGTGGCGAAGGCGTTGGTGCACGTGCTGAGCACCGGCAAGAGCGGAAGCGTGTGGATGGTGGAGAAGGACCAGCCGCCGCACGAGATCAGCTTTACGAAGCACTAAGAGGGTCCCGCGAGCGTGTGCAATGATTCTTCCTCGCTTCGCTGCATATATCTATGCCGTACCGCACAATTAACTGTAATTTGTATCGAGGTATATATCCCGTCGCGCGCCGTCAAAAAGGCGGAAACGCGAGTGAAACGTATATAGCTATTCGTACTTTCGTACCAAAATATTTGGAAGACCAATGCGTTTTTTATTCTCTTTTAACAATAATTTTTTTAATGCATGATTCTTAAAGTTTTAATCATCCACTTCCGACTTTTGATAGAAGGCGATTTTTTTTATACGTTTCATACCACCGCGCCATAACGGAAACCCGCGAAACCAGAATGCGGCGAGTCCTCGGATTCGATAATTACGCGATAGATATAGTCGCAATATTTAACAAAAAAAAAAGTAAAAAGAGCTGCCGTACGATCGACGCGGGATACGCGTCGCGACGGTGGGAACATTTATTGCCAAAAAGAAAACAATGTAAAACAATGTAAAAAAAAACAACGGCTTTCGCTTCCGTCCCGCATCCGCGTTGCGAGTTCGCGTCGGTTTTTGCACAGGCCTCAACAACCATCAACAACGCTTGTCAGCCATGAATTTTCGCGCTCGAGGGAAATTCTCCGGAGAGATTTCTGGGCGTTGTGCGGACACCTGTATGTTGCACCGACGAAAATTGTAACGCAACGACATTTAGATCCTGCCGCATTCCGTGACCGTCGCGTGACTTACTCCATTTTTCCAACGCGATAAAATATAGACGATTTTTTAACGCCATTCCGTTTAATAACGCTACATGTAATGTAATCGCGTTTCATCAGGTCAAATATAATAGAGACACACACTTGGTATTTATTGCTTGTACGAGGAAGAAGGGGGAAGAGCGTATGAAAGAGATAGAATGAAAGAAATAAGAATTTATTTTCGCGCCCTCGAAGCGTACAAAAAAGAAGGGAGAAAGATTACATATACGTTTCTTATAATGACTAATGCAAGTAACTCTGTGGATCGACAAAAGCTACCCTTCATGAAATTTCGCAAATCTATTAATTACATATTAAACAAGAAATAAAATAATTCATTTAATTAAAACAAAAGTAAAATATAATAAGTTAATTAAAAGCAAGTGTAAAACACGATCAGATATAATTTTCGTACTAAACATATCTGCGAATTAAGATAAATGTTATTAAAAATATTAGAGTAACCGGACTGATAGAGTTAGCTCGTCTTACAAAAATATGTTGTTTGAATAAATTAACTTAATTATTAAAGAGAATGGACAATCTAAAATTTTAAGAGCTTGATCACAAAAATTGAGAATTTTATTTGTGCCAATTTTCACTTCGAAGTTCGATGACACGAGATGTTCCGAGAGTTATCTGCATCAGTCACCTGTAACCGCGAATGCGGCGATTAAACTGAATTCCGTCGGACGATTACTTCACAAATGAAGCTATATATCTAATCGTGTCCATAATTTTTCTACAGTATTTTGAGGGAGACAAAAATATTAGAGACGGTGTAGCGAGATAGAGTTAGAATCTGTAGCCTAAGTGCAAGCACAACACTCTTAAACGTGATCACGTTTTTTCGATATTAGGTATTAGGAATATCACGGGGCAATTTGTTCGATGTGCAATTGCATTCAATTGCACATATGCATATGTGCAAAGCTCGGATCGGTACATCGGTCAGATGTCCAGCTAGTTAGTGAGTTTTGTTTTCGGATAATATCGCCCGTTCGAGTAATCCTTTATTGTAGTTTTCCATCGGTGAAACGATCAGTGGCGATTTCGTTTTTGTTATGCGTTACATGATATGTACGTTGCTAATCTCGCCAATAAAATGCATTGCCTTTTAATAAAATCAATGGACCAGCGCGATTTCTCTCTCTCTCTCTCTCTCTCTCTCTCTCTTTTTCTCTCTCTCTTTCTCCCCCTCCCTCTCTCCCTCCCTCCCTCGCTCCCTTTCTCTCTCCCTCTCTTGAAGATAAATGATGAACATGATGCCTTAAGTACGGAATGTCCGACATTTAGAAGAACACTTGAGGAGGAAAAAAGAGAACTGGCTGGGAAACTACTAAGTAGCAACTGCAGACAAAAATTGAGTCAATTTTGTATACCAACGCGCAAAGTTTAATGGCACATAAGGAGGAGATACAACATCAAGTTATGAAGAGAATAAATCCTGCAATCTTGGCGCTGTCGGAAACTAGGCTGATAGCAGACATAGAAGACAGTGAAGTGTATGTACCAGGCTACAACATAGTAAGATGCGATGCTGAAAACAGAAATACAGGAGGAGTAATTTTATACATAAGAAGTGACATAAAGCATGAGGTAATGTTAACGAAGAAAATAGTTTTAAATTGTTGGTGCGCAGTAATTGAAGTACGAGAAAATTTGTATAAAGGTATGGTAATTGTAGTTTATCATTCACCGAGTGCGTCGGATGGTGATTTTATAAAATTTCTGGAGGACATAATGGAAACATTGGTAATTAAAGGAGAATGTATGGTGGTATAGGAGACTTTAATATAGATTTAATGATAGATTCGTTTTATGCAAGAAAATTGCAAACAACAATGTTAAGCTTAGGAATGAAACAATATGTTAATAGTCCAACAACAGTTACAAAAGACAGTCAAACAACTATAGATTTAGTTTTCGCGAATAGTGAAGTAAAAGTAGAAGTAAATAAAAAACCTAAAATAACAGATCACGCGTGGTTGAAAGTTGACTTTAGTGTAAGTAAATCGAGTCATAAATATAGAGAATTTATTGGTAGGGATTATAGTAAATTTAATGTAAACGATTTTCTTAGTTTAATAGTAGAAGGGAAATGTAAGCAAATAATAGAGCTAGATATAAATAAGAAAGCAGATAAATTTGTTGAGAAGATGGTTAGTGCATTAGATATTATAGCGCCTAAGAAAAAGTTTAGAATTCTGAAAATATGGGAAGGGAAAAAGTGGTATTCAGATGAAATTAGAATGGCAGCAGATAGAAAGGATGAGGCTCACGGTAGAGCAATAAGCACAGGTATTATAAGGAGCAGGACTGGGGATATTTCAAGAATGAAAGAAATGCAGTAGTAAAACTTATCAGAGCAAAAAGGAAGGAATATTATGAGAATGTGGTAGATAATAATAGGAAGAATCCTACAAAGATGTGAAAAACTTTGAAAGAATTAATTAAGGGTAAGCAAAGGGGTTCAGAGAACATCGGTAATGTAGATTTTGAAATATTAGAAGACATGGAAGAGAATGCAATATAGCTGATAAACTCCTAACGAATTTGACATAGAATTACCATTGGAAAACCATCACGAAAAATGGTTTCATAATCTGTCTAATGCCAGCATTCCGAAGGGTGTCATTTCGTTACTACAATTGGGCGACCGTTTTAATATGCCTGTCAATAAAAAAAATATAAAAAAAGTAGTGGTTGAGTTCATTAAACACATTGAAAAGAATTTATTGCATTTTAAAGAATACAAAAAGGAAGTTTCCCATTCTATTAGAAATCAATCTATTCGTATTGTTAACAATCCTTACAAAAACTATTCAATGTAATTCGATAGACAGAACGTTGCTAAGTTGGTGGAAAGAGACAAATAAATTCGCGAGAGAACACCCGAATATTTTCTTCACACGAGCGGATAAAGGCAATGTCACCATAGCCCTGAACAGAGATGACTACATTTAAAAAATGAAGGAAATTCTGTCTGACCCGGAAACGTACACTGTGGTCAAAAAAGATCCTTTGAGGAGGATAACCAACGACCTAAGAGATTTACTCGTGAGATGGAAGAAGAAGAAATTTATTTCGGAACAGGAATACAGGGCCCTATATTATTATTATGCAACACGTGCATGGAAAGTGCCCCATTACGCACGCTACGCGTGCGTGATAGACCACTTTCCAGGCACTTGCAACATAAAATAGGGAGTGTAAGCCGCGTGTAAAGATGAAAATTCCCGGGTGCGGAGTTTACGCACGAGCCGAAGGCGAGTGCGGTAACTGCACCCGGGAATTTTCATCTTACCTCACTTGTTACACAAATAACTATTATATCACACGTGCGTGGAAAGTGGCCCATTACGCGCGCGCCATCTGTGTGACAAATAGCCAATTCCATACACGAGTCAAAACAGTGCGGTAATGTAACATTACCGCACTGTTTCTTCGAAACTGTGCGGTAATGTAAACATTACAGAGTTATAGTAGTAGGGGAGCTAGCTCCACTTTTTCGTGATTATTTTGGTACTTATGAAACTTTTTGTGGTGATTCATAATGTTATTCAATGATCAAAGCTCCGGGGACTGACAAAAAAGTAGGTCGCTTTGGGTGGTACAGCCACCCACTTGTGCAAAAAAAAATTTTTTTTTAAGTCATTTCGGTATGTTAGTCATTTTGCACCATAATTCTTTGATATATTCTATGACTATTAGCATAATTGACTGACAAAAAAGCGGGTCGCTTGTGGGTGGTAGAGCCGGCCAAGAATGTTATTTTTTAAAAAATTATTTTGGTATGTCAGTCATTTTGCACCATAATTTTTTGATATATTCTATGACTATTAGGATAATTGACTAACAAAAAAATGGGTCGCTTGTAAGTGGTAGGGCCGCCCAAAAGAGAAAAAAAAAGAAAATAAAGTAGTCAAACAATCATATCATGATTATTAAATAATGTTACAGAATCGAGTAACGACCTTTCTGAGGATGAAGATGACCTAAATGATTGTAACAAATACGATGAAGAAGAAGAAGATTCCTAGTTTTTTTTATTTATTTTTTATGATGATGATTCAATGCTATTTTTCATTACTTTTTCTGTTTTTATTATATAATAAATGACCGTAAAAAAAGATATTGGCTTCAGTTTGCGATGTACTTTTAATTATTTATTTGAGTAATGAAAAGACAATAAGAATTAAAATGAGTCCTGATGAATTTATAATATTTTATCATAAAATATTGTAAATTCCATAGTTTGTGACTTATAAATTTTTTCCTTCTTTAAATTTACCATTGATGGTCCTCAGGACTCATTTAGTTCTTATTGTCTTTTCATTACTCAAATAAATAATTAAAAGTACATCGTAAACTGAAGTCAAAATCTTTTTTTACGGTCATTTATTATGTAATCAAAACAGAAAAAGTAATAAAAAATAGCATTAAATCATCATCATAAAAAATAAATAAAAAAGACTAAAAATCTTTTTCTTCTTTTTCTTCATCGTATTTGTCACAATCATTTAGGTCATCTTCATCCTCAGAAAAGTTGTCACTCGATTCTGTAACATTATTTAAAAATCATGATACGATTGTTTGACTACTGATTCATAACGTAACAACGTAACGTAAACATTTTTGGACGGTCCTACCACTCACAAGCGACCTATTTTTTTGTCAGTCAATTATTATCCTAATAGGCATAGAATATATCAAAGAATTATGGTGCAAAATGACTGACATACCGAAATGATTTGAAAAAAAAGACATCTTTGGGCGGCCCTACCACCCACAAGCGACCCGCTTTTTTGTCAGTCAATTATGCTAATAATTATAGAATATATCAAAGAATTATGGTGCAAAATGACTGATATACCGAAATAACTTAAAAAAATTTTTTTTACACAAGTGGGTGGCTGTACCACCTAAAGCGACCCACTTTTTTGTCAGTCGCCGGAGCTTTGATCATTGAATAACATTCTAAGGCCGGTATTCATAGTCTGCTGTTCTTATATTTAAGACCATCTTAAGTACAATCTTAAGATGTCATTAACCAATCACAGAGCCGTATTAGCATCTTAAGATATTACTTAAGACGGTCTTGAAATAAGATCTGATTATGAATACCGGCTTAAATCACCACAAAAAGTTTCATAAGTACCGAAATAATCACGAAAAAATGGAGCTAGCTCCCCTACTATAGTCTCATCGATTAACAGTCCATTGTACACGTTAGCTTCATTTTTGCATAACATCATTTATAATAATATCACATTTCCTAACACACACTTAAAAAATAGTTCTCAGCTGGTGAATGATTTGAGAGACATTACATTAGAATCAAATTACACACTGATTTCCTGTGAAATTCGTAATTTATTGCATAATAAACTATCCGAAAATAAACTGTCTGTTTTAATAAATTATCCAAAAATATTTTAAAACCATTATTAATTTTGTGCAAACCCTTCTCTTCCTGAGAAGCTGATATTAATGTAGAAGATATTGATTATACAGAAAACGCTTGAACTAAAGAAAATATTTTTAGAAATTAAAGAAGTATAATTGCTTATACAGAAAGTATTGTACACATATACATAAATATATAAGTATGTAAATAATTGATATACACTGAGCAATAATTGATGAGTATATGTATATGTGTATAAATAGATAAAAATATGTATATACAATATGTATATACAATATGGAAGAAATAAATCGGACATTTTCGTCGAGTTGGATTCTACGCTTAATTTTAATTTGTGAATTACAGTTTTGAATTACATTTGCTTTATGCTTTATACCTGGTTACCCGGGCTTCGCCCCGGAGGACATATATAATAAGCCACGCAAATAAGTGATAGCGTGTATTTACATGTAACACCAATAGATTTCCGCATCACCCTTGAGGTACAATTGTAAATGCGTTTTTTTTTTTTAGTGGTTTCCCTAGTAGGCCTATTCCACTATAAAGAAAAATAGCTCAATACCTGTGCTTTGCTCCCGTATTTAATTACTTTAAATACATTATGACTCTAAAAGGTGGCAGTGTGGTCTAGTGGTAGAGCGCCAGACTCGTAATCTGAGGAACCAGGTTCGAGTCCACTAGAGCCATGAAGCATGGAATGTTTTTCCGATAC